AGTGCAATGAGAAGGCCATTGAAGATGTAGTACGCGGAAAACATGGGCACCAGACCGAGCGCGACGTAGGAAGAGAAGTAGATGATGCGATAAGGCAGCAAACCAATGCGCGACACAACCCAGCACAGGGCGAACACATTGAACGTGACATCAGCCACTTTCTGCTTCTTCACGTAAGCCATCATTTTGGCTCCCTACACACCATATCCCATGCAGAAGAGAAAACACGAGTTAGTTGGTGATTCTCAAGCCACCACAAGACATCTCTCTCTCTCTCTCTCTCTCTCTCTCTCTCTCTCATGCTGCAAACCATACCTCAAGTGGAATATCGGCAAAGTCGTGAATGATGAGCACCAGCGTTCCAATGCGAACCAAGTTGCAGGCCCAAGAGAAGGTCAACAAGCACAGGGTGACGACGTGGTGTACGAACATCACCCAAAAGTCCTTTCGCTGCACGTCGAAGAACTGCGAAAAGAGCAGTGAAAGGTAGAAAGCTGACTCAATGTTGTAGTACCACCACTCCTCATTTGAGACATACTGTACAAACGGAGATAAAGCAGAACAAGGTAAGCATTTTGCTGAAAGGGGTGAAAAAGGCTGAGACTTACGTGGTACGGGTACTCGAGGAAGCAGTGGACAGAGTCCCACATCCAAGGTTTCTAAATGGCGAGAAAGCAGCATTTCAGTTGTTTAGTACAAGAGTACCATTTCGAAAAAAGGGGCAACACTTACATCCCAGAGAATGACAACACCGTAGATGAAGAGGGCACAGTAGAAGGCGCACCTCCAAGCACTTTCGGTGAACTTCGAGAGAACAGTGGGTCGAACATGTGCAGCCTTGAGGCGCATCCATCGCTGCACTTCTCGCTCAGTGCAGTCGAGCTGTTTGACCAGACCGGCAAGCTATTGCACAATAGAGCACACAAAAAGTAAAATGTTGCTGTTAGTGACGGAAAAAAGTGAAGCAATCTAGCGTTTTACAAACCTCCTTATCGTTTAGCTTTCCGCGATTCTTCCAGAATGCCTTCTCCAGGACGGCATTCCTAGGCGGCGGACGAGCGCGGGCAGGCTGCAAACCGAACCAAACTCCCAACGGCTGGAAAACATACCTGCAAAGAGGGTAATGAGATTAAATGACTGGCAATTCGCTACTATGAAGCAATTCCCTTTCCCTCTCTTCCCGCATTAGGTAGGGTGTGTTTATACTAGTGTGAACCACCACCACCAACAACGGCCATTTAGGTCCGGTGAACTCAAACAGGCAAAGCAGTACAAAGGCGCCGGTAATTGCAAGGCGGAGAGAGAGAGACTAAAGCGTGCACCGTGCAGCACTAATCAAAGGGCGTGAGCATTTGTGTGTGAGTGTGTGTTTTCTGTCTGTCTGGACAATCGATCGTAATTACATTGTGACAGCCCTTGGCGCTAATTCGCCCAACTGTCGCCTAACAAATTATTACTAAATGTAAAATTGGCCAGACAGACTTGAAATATAAAAAAGGTAAAGCAACTGTCACTGACTGTCTGCTTGAGGGGAAATGGAGCAGAGAGAGGAAGAGATAAATAAAAAGAGAGAGAGAGTGGGACACTTCACTTGACTGGCTGACACACAAAAAACGCGGAATAAGCAAAACACAAAAACTGCACTTACTTGTCGAGTGTGAAGCGTAGCAGCACGAGAATGAAGGCCGTGTAGGCCGAGTAGTAGATGTCGTTGAAGTAGCGGAAGCCCTTCTCCTCGTACATCGCCCAGGTGGCATTTGGCGGGGTCCAGATTGACTCAGTCCAGAACCACTGGCGGAGTTCCTGTACTGTGTCCAGCATTGTGTCGAGTTTTGTTGAGGTGGGATGAGATTACTGGAAAGTAGTGGAAGTAGTAGTAGAGTGGTCCAAAAGAGAGTATAGTACAGTAGAAAAGAGAGCAGTAAAAACAGGGGTATAAAAGTTCAAAACAAAAACAATGTACAAAACTATAAATTACAAAATAATAGTATTGATAAGAGAGGAGATTAGTGTTGCAGGCAACAGAGCAGATCCATTAGAGAGTGAGAGAGTTGAGATGGCGAGAGGTATGTGTGAAGTGGACTATTTAAATGAAATGCTGATGAGGAGTCGGAGGATGGCTTCAATCATCATATCTGTAAGGAGGAGAGTAGGAAAGAAGAGATAGAGATAAGTAAATTAAGTGAAAGAGAGAGACGGTGATTGCTGCATTGCAACGATGAATCAATTGGTAGCTGGTAGCGGCGGCGACGACAGGTCTTTCCTGGCGATGCAATTGCCAGCCAACCTCCTCATCTGCCGCCACATGTGGGGCACACACTGGCTCACTGACTGTCAGTGTATATGTTTGCCTAACAAGTTGTTGTAGTCAAACAGCGGCGACCTTATCGTCGGAAGCAGCAGCAGCACGCTTCTGTGCGTCGTCGGGTGATAGCAGACTAGTGGTCGGAGATGGTCGAACTGGCGATCATCACTTATCGGGTAGTAGTAAGTGGTCGGTGAAGATGTAGGCTGAATGCACTGAATGGCCAAATCAGTGCCATGCATCCCCACCGCAGTGGTGGTGGAAGCCAGCCAGCCCGGTAATTAGCCTGCAGACCATTCCTCGGTGAACGGAGTGAGTGTATGTGCAAAGTGAGTACGTGAGAAAACTGGCCGATGCACTAAGAAGAAGGAGAAGCCTTCAGCGAGGACTGATCGCCTTCACCGAAACTAGTTGCTAGTCGACTAGGGGAGAGCACAGCTATCAGTGGGTGATCAGTGAGTGTGATTAGAATCAAAACGGTAAAATCCACCGAGAATCACACTGTTTACCTACACACGCAAGCGTCTCAGTCTTAAAATCGGCACAGTGCAGTTTTTCAGACTTTTGAGGCACATAGACACTTTACTTCTATTTTACACTACTGCTGCACTCTACTTAATTAGAAGTAGCACAAGTTCGGTGAACGTCAGCCCTCTCGCTGTCTCTACCTGAAAGCAAGCAAGCAAACCTGCCTCAATGCCATTGACACAAAGTGGCACGATGTACTCTTTGCAAAATGGCGAGAGAAAGAAAGAAAGAAAGGCAGCCCGAAAAAGAGCTGAGTTGAGCCTAAGCCTGAAAGTGGCTGGCTGATCAGCCTACTGTGTGTTTTCTCAAAAGACAGTCTTGCCAACGGTTTCAAAAGGCAATAAAAATTCTCTCAAGTGAGCAGGCAGTCAGGCAGAAGTAGTAGCAGAAGCAGCATCCAGCAGCAATCAGCCGTTGGGTGAATCAGCAGAAGCCGGTAGCAGTAGCGACAGCAGCAGCGCCTTCGACGTGATTGAGTTGCTGCAGGAAACCGAAATTCTAATAGGAAAGTCGCCAAAGCGATTTGCGACTGATGTTAGATTGTAGCAGTACTATTACAGGCAAAGCTGTGTACAAAACACAATGAAGTTGTTTGTGTGTTTCTCTTTGGCGAAACCATCAACGACAACAACCAGTAACGAGCGTGCAAATTAGGCGTATTCATCACTGCAAAATGACAGCCTTTCTCGGTGATGAATGGAATGAAAGCTCTGTGCCTCCCCTTTGTACTGACAGACTTCAGTGTTTGGGTAGAATCTAATGCTTTGTAAAGTGCACTAGTGTCTACTTATCAGAGCTAACAAGAGGAAAACGCCGGTTTCGGGAAATTGAGGAAGCAGACTACCACTTTGCTTGTTGAACATGCTTTCTTCCTTTAGTGTAATCGATAGCGGAGAAGAGAACAAAAACAAACACTTTTCGGCAAATGACTGATAAGGTCAAAGTGGCTTTCATTAAAAGTGACTCACAACATGTCTAGACTAATTTTAGTGGCAGTTATCAACAGCTCAACTCGTGACATTTAGCGTTGCCTGATTACTAGGAAAGAATTTAAAAAATCTCCGTTCAGCTGATGTAAACACACACATATTTTGTCAACTAAAAGTCGATTGCCTAAAAATATGCGTCAGCAAAAGTAAGAGTACATAAATCTCCTCTTACATGGTGCAATGCAGTTGCATCGACAAGATTTGTGTGTCACTGACTCACTAAAACTGACTTGGGACATTTTGATAACACCCGCCACACTTGGGGGCATGCCTAAAGCGTACATCCTTATCGCGCAGTTTGATTTCCCCTGATAGAAGAGATCATCATATTGGGAAGCGACCATGCTATCACCGTCGTCGTCTATTGACATTGGCGCGCGCGCGTAATAAGAGTATCAAGTGGCAGTTGTAGAAGAGAGGTAAACAATGTCAATGTTGAAGTGATAACTCCAAACAACAGCAGTAAATGCCTACTTACCTTGCGGTGGTGGATGGTGTGATGTTTGGAGGGTCCCGCGAAATGATTCAACCGCTTCTGGCCGAAGCCGCTGAGAGCATGAAGAGGGCAGAATATTCTTGCCGACGACACCACACCCACAAAAGCAATGCACAGATGATGGACTGGAAATGATGATGATGATGCCGCTGCGGAAGATGAAGAATCGGAGCGTCGGCCGGCCAGACACCAAATGACTCGCCTCACTAGCCGAGAAAGGCAGACTGAGACGGAGAGAGAGCGAGAAATGAGAGAGAAAGATGAAGCTTGCAGAGTGAATGTGGTGAGCACAGAGCACTTCTCTGGCAGCGCTGCTTTCTCTCTGGAGAGTCAGCAGTCTGTGCGCGCGCTGTGTGCGCCGGCGCTGGCTCCAGTCGATAACTTTCCCATTGAGAAGTTAACTGGAGTCGAAAACTCAGGTGATCTGACGACTACCACCACCACCAGCACCACTGGGCGCTCACCTGGCAACCAACCAGCTGGTGAAATATCATGCCCAATCTAGGGCGGGCAGTGAAATTTCAGTCAGTGACTGGCTCTCGTGACCAGCCTGTACCCATTCACTGTGTGTGCCCACGGCGAGCAGCCGTACCATCATCACCATCGCCACCACTGTCAGACACCTCTCCTGTCCTGTCAGCACCGTCACTTTTTATTTGTTTGTTATCACTCCTTATGCCCCTCATTCCTCGACCGTTATTTCGATGGTGTGCAGACAGGTAAAGAGCGACTGGGCGCTGCTCGCCTCAATCCAGTTGCGAGTTTCAAAGCTGCTCTTTTGCTTCTGAAAGCTCTCCTCCGGCAGACAGCAGATCTGGAGCTTGTACACGCCGGCGTACAGAAAGACCAGTCCACACTCGTGTTCGTGCGTTTCGCTGGATGGTAGCTGGTGAAGGTGGAAGAAAGTAAACATATTTACCGGTTGTTAATAATGTGCTGTTGCTGGTAAAGCACGCCAATTAACGACGCTCATCATCATCAGTGCTTACCTGGTCGATGCATATCGAATCGCTGCCACTGATGACCACCTTGGAGTTCATGCCGCCGTGGTAGTGACTGCTGTGCGACTGTGCCCCCTTGGTCATAGTGCTGCTGGTGGTGGTGGTGGCAGCCGTCTGGTAGTCCTGGTAGCAGAACAGGTACTGTCGCAGCTGCTGCAGCGACGTCTCCGAGGTGTTGTGCAATCGAGTGCGGATGGTCGCCTGTTCGGCCACTTTTATGGCAATTTCACCGTGCGAGCTGCGAAGCCTCAGCTCGTTGATTTGAATTTCTACGCCAAGCAAGCACAGCAAGGGTAAATTAGCGTAAGTATACACAGTATATGTCGACACTGAGAAGACACACATACCACTTGATATGGGCGGAATGAGCAGCGCCTTGAGCATTTCATTGGTGTAGGGAACCTGGTCAACGGAGACCAGTCCCTCCGACAGAGGCAGATCAGGGGACATGGCGAGGTGCCACTGGAGATTGATTTGTGAGCTGATGTGCAGGCGAATTCTCGCGAGGATGGCCTTCAGCTTCTGTTCAGTGGGGAAAATGTAGCTGAGAAAGTCGGTGCTTGGAGCCTTCGCAGGAGACGCCTGCTTATTATGATTGAGATTATTAAAGTTGTTATTATTGCTAGTAGTAGTATTTTGGCACTGGGTTGAGGCGTTTCCTCCGTAGAAGGGAAGTGAGAGGGGCTCATCGTCGTCGCCGAGTGCGGAGAGGCAGTTGAGAGGACAGCGTTTAATTGGCACCGGAATACGACACTTCTCCCGCGACTCAATGAGCATTTCCTTATTTTGTGCGTACAGCAGAGTGAGCTCGTGTTCGGTGGCGTTCAGAGCGTCAAACACCATGTAACACTCATCCGGTCTGTAAATTGAAATGGACAGGGCGGCGTTAGAAAAAAGGGACAAGGCTAATCAAGCACAGATCTATTCTACTCAACTGTTCAGCGGACAGGACGTCCCAGTGGGTGAGGAGGACTGACGGGCTCACTTCGAGAACAAAGTGAACGCTCGTCTGACGGCAAAAGCCTGAATTGAGGCCAGGACCACCGCTGTAATCGAATTGAAGACAAAATTCAACAATCTGAAAAAGAAAAAAAATGAAAAAATGATAGATAAATATAAACAACTTACAGAAGTTTTAAAAATTTCATCGGGAAATTCAGTCTCATTATCGACTTCTAAAACATTGTTGCTAGCATTATTCAGTTCACTGTTGAACTTCTTCGTCTGCAGCTCATTGATAAAGTTGGCCAGTTTGGTTGAGCCGAGCACTTGCGACTTTTTCTGCGCCAGTGACATATTACTGGCAGTCAGCTTGTTGTTCCTGTTAACCTCCATATTATTTGCTACCAGTTGCGATTGCTTCAGATGGCAGACAAAGTTTCCCTTTACAGAAATGGTAATGTCAAAGGTGGTGTTCAGCTCGCGGCCAATCGGCAAAGTGTTGTTCAGTTGTTCATTGTCCCACTTAACAGTGACTAGTTTTTGCAGTTCAGGGTTGATATTCTTAGGGAAGATGACGCACACCTCCACAAAATCAATTTGCTCGTCGACATTTCGACTAATATTTGACAGTTTCATTTGATATGTTTTGCATTGACCTATCAAATTAAACCATGGTTAAAATGCGTTGTAGGGTCAACGGTGAAAAGAAACAAACCAGTATAAAGTTCAATGAAGGTTGAGTTTGATATGTGCATGTCAGTAAAGACATCTTCAGTGGGTGATATGGCTTTTGAAGAGCGCAACTCGCCGGTGAGGTCGTCGGCGAGGCACTGGGCACACATCAGCGGCAGCCGAGGCACCACCTCAACGGCGAAACGAGCCGGCAACTTTAACTTTCGAGCATTTGGCAGTTGACTTAGTTGGCAGTCTGACTTGATTCCCAGCGAGTGAATCTTGTAGCCGAGAATGTCCAGCGTGCCGGAAGCTCGCGGAATGCCGGTCATGGCGATGTTGGTAAATGAGGTGAGGGGGGATATTTTGAGTGAGGTATCGTGGTTCGGCTCAAAGGCCACACCGTCAGTCATGACCATGATCGAGGAGATGTTCAGCTCAATGGGCAGGTAGTTGTGCAGGCTGATGGTGACCTTGCCGGTGTTGCCCTCCGCCCAGTAGAAGGCCACCTTGCTCACCGAGTCCCGGGTCACCTTCGGCGGCGGCTGCTTGAACGGGCGGTTCAGCTGAAGGGGCGTGTAAATGAATGGCCCTGAGTTTTGGGCCAGTTCTTTGAGGCGCTCCGTTTCAGCCGATGATATCAACTTTAATTTGACTGGACGCAGATAGGGGGGAAGGGGTTCAACTTTAAAAAAGATCACAGTTGGAAACTTGGTGAAGTTCACCGAGGGTATGATGGCACTATTGGAAAGTTTCAGTATCACCGGGGAGCCCTCGCCGCACTTGGAGGCAAGCGAGGAGAGCTTAGTGGCAAAGTCCTGCCGCTGACTGGGGCTGATGTGGTTGAAGAGGCACTGCAGCATAAAGCTGAGGTGCCTCATGGCTAGCGTCTGGTTTTCCATCTTCACCGCCGTGGTGATCATCTCCTGCACCAGCTGGACGTGAATGCCCGACCAGTGGACGTCATTACGCGCCAGTCGCTGGTCGTATTCAGTCGGATCAAGAGTCACCCCATAGCCGTGCAGCGCGGGCAACATCAGAAAGTAGCATCGCTCCCAATTGGGCGACTTCACATGCAGTGAGACGGACTTGAGGGCGGCAAAGCGTTTGTAGAATGCCGCCTTCCGGTAAAAGCGAATGTTCTCGTACAGCTGCGATATTTGAAGTAACCTTTCAATCTAAACAAAAAGAAATGTTGTGAAAAACAAAAAAAAACTTTGATAAATAAAACATACTTGTTCATCGGTTGTCTGAGTAAATGTGATGAACACAGCGTTCTGGATAAAATCAGAAGCCTTAAGGTAGCGTTCAAAGAATATTAAAGTTCGAGCTGCTTTGAAACTGCATTCAAATTCAAGAATAGATGCTCCTCGATACTAAAAATGTAGACAAAAATGAAGTACTGTTTACAAGCAAAATGAAAGCTTTTTACCAGTGCATAGTAAGATGCGGCTTCTTTATAGCGATCGTAGAACTGATCGACGGTGAGAATGTTTTTGTTGGCCCCAGCTTTACTGCTTGAGTCCTCGCCGTTTAAAATGACGCCTTCACTGTTTGCCGCTATTCGCCTCATCGCCTCACAAACTTCAGACCGAGACACTTCGTAATCACATCTTGAGATCAAATCGTGAAAGAGACTCTTTTCAAAGTGAAACTGACGACGGAGGAGATGAATTTGATGCCACCGGTCTGGGAAGAGTAGCGCTAGCGAGGCGGCACAGAGTCCTTCGTAGGCGGAAGCAAGCCACAACTTATCACCAACTGCTTTCAGCTGCTCAATTGCAGAAATATAATTTGTAATAGATTCTTGCGGTAGACCAGCGAGCAGTGACAGGTCGGCAATGTGCTTTCGCATGCGGCCCATGCACTTGCGCCGAAACGCAAATGTGTCATTGTCTAGACCAAAGAGCGCCTTCTCCTCAAATGGCGCCATCAGCAGAGGAATCTTGTCCATCTTCTCACTGGCTCGATCTAGCCGCTTTGATTCAAGCACCCAGAAGAGGCCGGTGATCAGCTCTTGGACACGGGCTTCAATTTGTTCACAGCACAGCTCTTCTGATTCAAAAAATACAACTTTTTCAGTCGTTGTTGTTGATAAGTTTCCAATAACAAAGCACCTTGAGTCAAACAACGTGTTGGCGTAGGTGTCCCGAATGGTGTTGTGCAGCTCGCAGATGGACTCGATTTCATTGTCGTTGAAGGAACGGGCAATTGTGATGAGGCCGACCAGTCGACGGTGCGCTTGAAACTCGCCCCAAGCATTGTTTTCAATTGAGTATGACTGTTTATACCTCAGCCGGACCGTTCTCTCAAAGCCCATGCCTTTGTTATCGGTAATTTTGAACTCGTATAGCTGAGATAGTCTGTCGTATATCCGATTGAAGAGCGAGGCGTTCATCTGAGGACCTAAAGGGGCAAATGTAAACAGTAAACAGTCGGTACATTCACCTTTGAACATCAACAAAACACTTACCGATTTGCTTGATCACAATTAAAAGGCACTGGTGATCTTCGGCAAACTGGTCATAATCAGGTGTGGCCATCTTTGCCTTGACCGAATAATAGAAAAATAAGTAAAAATAAATTAGATAATCTGATTGAGGGCATCAAATCCTCATCAGCATTTGAGGCGTTTGTTGTCAAAAAAGTAGATTTTTAACAGTAAAACAGGTACAAATAGACTGAAATATAGTCCTTCCTAGTCTATATAGTCGCATTTGAAGTCATTCAGAATTTGAATCGATCCATTCACTTCGAATGGACGACTGGAATTGTGCTGAATTTGTTCGCCCTCTTTAGCAAGGTGGTCAGTTCTCACAGTCTTTATCCGTCCCACAGTAGGTCCGGCTTCAATATTGACGTCAGGTCGATTGTGGACGGCAGCAGTAGGCAGTCGGCGGCGTACAGAGTACTGGCAGCGTTGATTGATTCAATTATCCAGTGCATTTTTTTCATATGGCGCAATTAATTTTTGACGCCGATAACGGTAGCGGTCACAGTGGTGTTTCAATCAAAAAACCGAAAAGTGAACAAAAAGTAATGAGTGCTTGGGGTGGGTGAAAAGAAGTAAATGCCATAACTTGGCTGACTGACTGACTGACTGACTGGTGGTGGTGTCTGGGTCAGGTTACTGGTGCAATCAATAGAGTGACTCCAGTGAGTGGTGTGTGCACTCGGTCTTATCTTCCACTGTGACTGCCACTGCATACCCTGTTACAGTCTCTCAGTAAGTCAGTCTTCCTCAGTGTTATTTTTACATCGGCTCAAGCTGACAATTTCGTAATAGCTTTTTTGTTTCTCCTGGCATCTTCACTTTCATCTTCAGTAAGTGGGTGGTTGTTGTGGTGTGAAGTGGTGCCGGTGCTGGTGCAGCTAAGCACTGGCTAGTATTCTTCCTCATTCCAACTCGTCATCTCATCCTCTCATCTCCCGACAACCGCCAACTGTGTAGAAAATGCCCACAACGGCTCTTCTCCTTTGATAGCACACTCTGAGATACACCAGGGAAACACCAGTGCTTGCTTCAGTGTGTCAGTGTTGGTGCATCGAACTTGCTGCTGGTGGTGATGGTAATGGTGAACAGTCTCTGCTCATTTGAATCGTGATCAGAGCAAGAGAGAGGGGGACGAGGAGGACAGCCAAACGTGTACGAAAGTAATGTCAACAGGTGAAATCAGAGCCATGAAGGATACAGTGCTTGGAGAGAAGTGTATGCACCATTGATGCAGTGTTAATGTTGACATAGCAGCGTCTGCACCGCCGCCAACGACATCATCATCATCGGCAAACTGCCAAACCACTGAGCCATCAATTGCGCCAACAGATCATTTGTTTCGAGCTGCATCACTATTTGCATAAGCACATTCTGTGGCCACAATCTCTGCTAATTAGTGAGTTGATTTTTTTGTTGTCAAAAAATTGTTAATCAAACTAATTAAGGTCATGTATCACTGCTGATTTCTAACAATCACATGACGCAAATGGTATCGCTTGCAAAAAGAGCCTTTTAAGAGTGCATTTTTTGAATAAATGTGACAAATCGAGTTGGTGAACCAGTGCACTGGCACAAAAACAATTCATTCTCTGCTTGGTATATTCACAAACTTTCGGTTACACTTGTGTTTACAAGCAATCAAGCCGGCGCTTACCATACCCAACACTTCTGTCTGTTCGATGTGAGTGTGGCATTTGTGTGTTGATGCTACTCTCTTCTTCCTCTGCCTCTTGCCAGCACCTCATCTGTCACATCACAGACGATCATCGCACTTTGGTGCACGCATCCGTTAGTAGCACCTCTACTCAACTGCTCGACTCTGCTAGCCGCCTACCAGCTCATCTTTAATTGTCTTGTGCCCTGTCTATCAGCTTATCACCGGACTTTAAATTACCTTCACACACTGGATTACTGCAGCGCATCATTAAACGGCAATTAAACTTGGCTCACATTACTTCCACTTGGTGGTGATCGCACTTGGTGGGTAACACTTTCCGAGTGGTGACAAGCAGTGCAATTGAATTTGCATGAGTGGTGCAGCACTCCAGTCAGCTTAGTCGTCTCGCTTCCTCACACTCCACTTTGCCGACCTGGTAGCAATATGGTTGTTAGGTAGGTGCTAGTAAATAGCAGTGCACAAGTAAAACTTAACCAAAAAACCTTCTTTAGCGTCATTCCCGAGAAGAAGCGGTCTCCTATGCGGCGCAATGCCATCATCGCCTCTGTGGTCGCCCTGGGTCTGGTGGTGGTCGTCGGCGCGGTGGTCGTCTTTACTCGCAGCAGCCTGTCAGGCTCAGAGAACACTTGCTTCTACTGCTCNAGAAGCGGTCTCCCATGCGGCGCAATGCCATCATCGCCTCCGTTGTTGCCCTCGGTCTGGTGGTGGTCGTCGGCGCGGTGGTCGTCTTCACTCGCAGCAGCCTGTCAGGCTCAGAGAACACCTGCTTCTACTGCTCTTACCAGAATCAGTCAAAGCTGGGAGAAATCTGCTCGCCGTCGCCACTGAAAAAGTACAACAAGTACGCGGTGAGCACCGACTCAAATGTCTGCGCTCCGGCGGGAAAGTACGTGTTTTGTTAGTTATTTACAGTCAACTAATTCAGTCATTAATTCTGCTAGGAGAATCCTGGATGAAGGTGGCAATGCAGCAGACGCCGCAATTTCGGTGCTTCTCTGCATGGGTGTGACCATTCCTGAGTCACTGGGCTTAGGCGGTGGCTCAATGATGGTCATCTACAACGGTATGTAAATAAACTTTTAGAATAATAAAAATAAAAATGTGCATTTTAACAGCAACGACCAAAAAATCGACGTTCATCAACGCCCGTGAAACGGCACCTGCGGCCGCCTATCGGGACATGTTCAACAACACCCAGACGCACAACAACCGCTCCTCTTATGGCATCGAGTCGATTGCAGTGCCTGGCGATGTGGCTGGCTACTGGCGAGCCTTCAGCAAGTTTGGCTCGGGAAAGATCACCTGGCGACGACTCTTTGAGGACGCCATCAAGTTTGCCCGAGACGGCTTCCCGGTGGGCCAGCACCTGAATGACGCTCTCGAACAAAACCGCAAGTCGATCATGTGGCTGAAGCCAATGCACCAAGTGTACGTCAACCCGGCCACCAAGGACCTGTACAAGGTGGATGAGATCTTCAAGCAGCCCGTCCTCGCTGAGACGCTCACTCAGCTGGCAAACGCCACCAATCCAAAGGACTTCTTCTACAACACGCTCTCCAAGAAGATCCTGGAAGACATCTACAAGGTGAATGCGCCACAGTTTCCCGGACAGAAGGGCATCATCACGCGAGATGACTTTCTCAAGTATGACGTACTTGAGGAAGAGGCGTTCACCTACGAGTTTGATAACAAACTCAAAGTGCACACCGCTCAGCTGCCAGGTGCCGGTGTGCTGCTCTCCTTCATCCTTCGAGTGATGAACAAGTACCCCGACCTTTACCCGACGGCCAAGTTTGACCAGGGTAAGGCTGACCTCTTCTACCACCGCCTAACGGAGGCCTTCAAGTTTGCCTTTGCAAATCGAATGTACCTGGGCGATGACAAGTTTGATAAAGTGCAAGGAGTGGTCAAGAACCTGACCTCAGATGCCTTTATCAATCACATCATAAAGGAAATTAATGATGAGAAAACGTTTCCAAGCAGTTCTGGCTACTACGATGCAAAGGTTGGGTTTAGTGAATTGTATGCTCTTCATTTCTCAACTCATTTTAACTTTTCAGAAAATGTACAACGGAATGGACAAGGGAACGGCTCATGTTGCAGTCTTGGACGGCCAGGGAAATGCCGTCACTGTCACCTCAACGGTCAATCTCTAGTAGGTGTTTTGGTTTGTTTAGATGGCTTAAACTAAAGTATCTCTTTTCCCCAGTTTTGGCAGCAAAGTCCTCTCCCCCTCAACTGGCATCATTCTCAATGACGAAATGGACGACTTCAACATTGGCACAAAGAATGAGTTTGACCTACCGGCGTCCTTTGCCAACATCATTCAGCCAGGCAAACGACCACTCTCCTCAATGTCACCGGCCATCTTCACCGACGACACCGGTCAGTGGCGCATTTTGTTTGTCTTGTTAAATGTCATCTAACACGAATAACTTTGTGCAGGGATTCGCCTGGTGATTGGCGCCAGCGGTGGACCAAAGATTCTCACCTCGGTGGCGTACACTGCACTGCGTCAGCTGTGGTTCGGCGACAACATCAAACAGGCAATCGACTCCTGTCGAGTGCACGACCAGCTCTTCCCCGAGAAGGTCACCTACGAGCCTTGTTTTCCAGAGACCATTCTGCGCAGTATGAAACAGCGCAAGCACAACACCACCGAGCTGCCAGTGGGCGTCAGAGGGGCGGTGGTCATGGGCATCGCTCGCAGTCGCAACAACTCCATCGAGGCCAACTCTGACTACCGAAAGGGCGGCACAGTGGCCGGTGTGTAGTGCTGTGGTGGTGCTGCAACTGCACAACAACAAAAGTATCATTTCCAGTGTATCTCCATTTGTGTTTGTCTAGTACCTAGTTTACTGTATTTATAAATTGGTTATTGTTTCCTAATAGAGAAAGAGGGATAAAGAAGGATACACGCATCCGCACGTTGACATATATGAAAAGATTCTCTAGTGCATATACATAAAATTGAACAGAATATAGAAAAGTGAAATTAAATTAGGTAAAATCTTCATGAAGATTAAAAGACGAAGAAGAAGTGAAGTAAAGACGGTTCAAATGTGTCGTGCGGGTTGTGGTGGGGAGAAAAGTGGTGATTGAGATAAAAATGATGTGTTGATAGCAGAAGGATTAGTGGATGCAGTGCCCTTCTTTACGCTGGTTAGATATAAAATGTAGATAAGAAGAAAGCAGATGTCTCTTACTTGGGCGTAATGTACAGAGTGACCTCGCAAGGGTTCGCCTGTTCGGTGATGGCCACGTCATTGTTGCTGGTAATGTGCT